ACAACAATAATGCCAAACGATTGCTGCTGCCGCTATTCCATTCTCAATATACGCTTATCCAGAAAACTCTTTTCATGACTTTTCTTCTAATGCCCTGTGGCATTTTAGCCTTCTCAGCTATTCGTCTCTCTATTCTAACGGCATCTAATAGCCTTCTCTTAAGCGTGTTCTGTTTTTAGTTATCCAACTTTGCTTTTTTTTTTCTTCATCAATCTTACTTTATCACTTAAGGTTTGTCTTCCCTTATTATAATATTTCCACAAATTCACGTCATTTTTAAATCAGCATTTATCCATAATGAAGTTTTATTATCGATCCTCAATCATTTTAGAATATTTATAGTAGGAGATTTAGATAAATAATGCTCTCCTTTTTTTATCATTTATATTTTTAATGCTAAAACTGATAAATTTTCTCAACTGATTACATTTCAAATCATCATAATGATCATTATTAGGACAATAACTACGAAAGCAAATTAGATCGAAAACTCGTCTAAGCATTTGTAAAGATAGCAGATGGGGATAATTAACCGCCATTGATAAGTTGATTGATGAAAATTGATAAGTTTTTAATACAAATCAAATTTAAAACTCGTCTTTAAATGATAATTTAGAATAACTCATTTATGGATAAAAATGATAAAATTTAATAAAATTAGAGTAGCCTTATATGTCGAAAATATACGAACTACAGACGTGTGGATTGACTCATAAAATTATTATGAACTTTTTTTTTTGATAAGTCTTAAGCTATTTTTCATAATAAATGAAGCGTTAAATAAGTTTTAGGCCCTTATAAGTAAATCCATTTACCATTAATTAAATGCTTAAAATTCTTCGATTTCGAATTCTTCTATAAATAAATAAATAAATAATTTATAAACGAAGGATCGTTTAGCTTTAGAAATCATTTTCAGTTATATACCCATCCACTCGCTTGAAAAAAAATTTTAGATTTCTTTTTTCAAAAGTACGGATAATCCAATCTGTATTTGAATTTTTTTTACACCAAAAATCACAAAAAATTTGAAAAAACCTCGGCATTATATATGGTACAATGGTGTATATGCTCGCCTTTATATTCTCATTCCATTATACTATCATATTTTTAATGCATGGAGAAGAATTTTAAAGCGTGAAGAAGATATATAGAAGATCCAAGGTTATGATAAGATAAGATAAAGATAGGGGAAATGCCATTGTAAAAGATATGAAATGGAGAGTGATATGTAAGTATGTATATAAAAGAAATATTGACAAAATAAATAAAAAGTAAATAAAAATAAAACTAAAAAATTTTTTTCATAAAAAATAATACAAAAATACAATTTGTATTTTAGTGAAAATTAAGAAATTCTACAAAAAAAAGCAAATTTTCATTGAACACCTTTATGATAAAAATTTGCTGAGACCTTTATGATAAAAATCGCATATAATTCATTTCTTGCATCGATAAAACGAATATATAAGAATAACGAATATCAAAGCAGATTTTATTAAAAATTATTTTATATTTTATCAATTATCAGCTGTCGCTTAAAATTAGAAGTTCTCTGAATTTTGAACGATCAATTTCAAATATTTTGAATCCTTTCGTTGCAGTTATAAGATCAAAATGGTATTTTCTGGCTTTGCATAAAGAAGTAAGCGATTTATTCAAATCCAGAAATCAATCAAGACGAATTCTCGCAAATAAATATCAATAATGGATCTATGAGCAACAAAAGAATAAATTAATAGGTAGGAATTATTAGAATTTTTTTAAAAAATTATTTCTATAATTACAATTTAATAATTATAATAGTTATTGAATAACTTATAATTACATCATATTTAATTATTAATTTAATAGAATATAAAATAGAATTAATTAATAATAAAGTTGATTATAGAAATTTATGATGAATTTTATATGATTCTCGAAGGCATTTAATTTTGTTCATAATTAATTTTTCATAATAATAATAATAATAACAATAATAATAATAATAAATATATATTAAAAGAATTATTTCGCGAATAATTTTACGCGATTCTCTTCTTTATTCTTCTATTAATTTATTTGAGCAGATAAATTTGCTGCTTGAGGTTTTATAGAAGACTGAATGCTAATCTAACTAAAAAATTTATCGAGAATGATTTTCTTATTCTTAATGCTTTCAAAATCTCTTAATTTTTGTGATATAAATGTCGTGGGGTTATAATTGAAATTGTGGATTAAAATTATTGGTTTCAAGGAATTAAAGTGCTTTACTAGAATTCCCTTCCCACCTCCCCCCCCCTCCCCATACAAACTTTTTTCACTCCTCCAATACTGGAATCCTCGCTTAGGATGTGAATGGGAAATATTATTTATCTTTAAAACCATCTAAGAATATAAACAGATTCCTAAAAGATATGTTTAATACGTATCTAATTTATTGCATTTGTTCAACCAAAAATTGCTAAAAAAAAACAAAAATATTAATAAAAATTGTTAAAAAATGATTGAATTTGATTATTAAAGCGAAAAATGCTTTAATTAAAGAATATTATTATTATTAAAAATACTATTTTTAATAAATATAGAATTTCGTATTTTATTAAGCAAAAAGTTATTTCATTGTTATAGTCAAGGATCTCATTCGATAAGAATGCGACATTTTTCAGGATTACTTGGCCATTTGGTGAATTATTTGGTGAATTTTACCGATTTTATTAAAGGCATAAAAAGTGTAAGGAATTTAATTTAAGGATAGCATTTTCGATTAGACTAACTTTATAAGTCGTTAGTTTGGCTAGAAATTTTTTATCAGAGTGATTGAAGCACAAACGAGTGAATAGCACCACCTCTTGGATGGATTTTTTGTCACTGCGATTCGCACCGAACGCCCAACCCATACCTCTCAACGCGATAATCTAAATCATTTTTCTGGGCCTTAATAAGGGCCTAAAAGGCCTTTGATGAGCAAACTAAAAGTTTAATTAAATTTTCAATTTCTTTTTTTATAGGAAAAAAAACTTAATTACATTAATTTAGATGTAGTTTTTTTATGAATTTATTTTCTCGTTTAATTATATTTGTAATAATTTTAATTCTTTCGTATTAATTTCCAAAAATTTTTTTTTTTGGCCGAATAAGGAAAGGCTCATCCAGAAAATATCTCATTTTATATTAACACTCTTGATGAATTTCCAATTTCTGCAGAGGAGATTTAAGATTCGCTGAAAACTCCTAAAACAAAAAAACTTCCATGTTTCCATATGCTAACAGCTAAGATATTATTAATCTAATCACTCTATTTTGATAATTTTCTACTTAATCGCTATTATAAGCTAACATTCACAGAAATCTACTAAAACCGATTAGATAAATGATAAGATCAGCAATAATCTAATGGAAGCCAATAAATGTAAGAAATTCTTATTTTGTTTATACGTCATATATATGACGATATGATTGCATAATGATACCTTATCACAAATTCTCGTTATAGCTCATCCTTATCAGTCATTCTATCTTTTTTTTTTATCACTTTATTATTTTGTAAAACAAAAATAGAAATATTGTTTATATAATCGTCAGCAAAGGAGGAGTGAAATAAACGATTATCAACTTATTATTTAGCAAATCTCAATTTTAGACATCAGTTGATAACAGCAATTTCTATAAATTCCCCCTGAAAGCAATAGTTACACTAGTAAATTAGAATTGGTATTTTTTTCTAAGAAATTCCTTTTTCTTCCTTTTCCATCCTTATTCTTCTTCCCTTTTACTATTTTCCATTCTCCTTCACCCTCATTCTCTTTCTTCTTCTCCTTTACTGTGCTCTTTTTTTTTCCTTCTCTCTTCATTCCCTCTCTTCCTCTCCTTTACTGTGCTCTTTCCTTTCTCCTTCTCTCTTCATTCTCTTTCTTCTTCCTTTCCTTCAACTTATTCTAATATCGTCAGCACTCTACTATTTCCCATCAATGAACGAGATTGCTACCCTATTAGCCTAAAATTAAAACGAAAAATGTGATAAATCTTAAGAAGCGATGAGAAGCCGAATAACCGATAAATTTATTCTTCCTTTATGGTACTCAACAATTTAAGAAACAAATTAACTAATAATTTCGCTTTAAAACGATTCTCTTTCAGGTTTCGAAATATTCACAAAATCAAATTTAAATTCGTGTTCGGTCTTTTAGCGAAATTATGTATGGTTTCTTCAAAGGTAACTTTTCTATTTGGCAGCTTCGATTAGTAATGTGATGGCTTGACGTCATTGAAAAGATCACGCAATTTGAGTAGGTTTATAGTGGTGTCTAGAAAAGGTGCGTGGTGGTGACTGAAATTATAGCTGCGATATAGTAATCGTTCATTGAATGGTTATCATGGTTTTAATATTTTTTTCTATGATTGCCTTTTATAGAAAATTGATTGCTAATTTCTTTGAGAATTTGGTGAATGCTGTGGTGGGATTTTGGGCGGATCTGGTGAAAGCTGTAGGGTCCTGAACGAACTTGGTGAAGGCTGTGGTTTTTTTGCTTTGAGAATCTGGTGAAGAAACAGCGGATTCTTTTGAGAGTCTTGCGAAAACCCTCATCTTTTTTCCAGAAATCTGAATTGTACTGATATGTTATATTGTAAATGGAAATGCCTGTTAAGGTATGAAAATATCGAAAAGCTATTTTTGGCTTTTCACATACTTAATTCAAGTAAACGGCCGATTTCGTTGTTACGCATGGTGAATTCTTTAAATTACGAGTATTAGGAAGGGTGCATTTTTTGTTCTAAAATTTGTCTTTTGCGGTGAAATATCGCTATTTCATATGAAATGTTGATAATTGTTTACGTCGAAATTCAAATCCATATTGTTGCAAATTTTTGGCCTTCAAATTGATGTCTTTGAATTTTTTTTTTGAGAAGCTTAAAAGCAACGTGGATAAGAGCTTTCAAATTTCTAAGAAGCTAGGACATTGAGTGGGAGTTTTTTTTTTGCATTTGCTTCCGATTAAAATGTGATTTTATGAAAAATGAGAATAAATAGTTTCCTAGGTGACGAACAATTTCATATGTTTTTATTTTTGCTGTTCATCTCAATTCATTTTGTCGCTGAAAGCGCTGCATCACAAGGTAGTATTTATTAAACCAAACTTTGCTCATTGAAATAAATATTTAATCAATTTTGATAGAAGATTAACAGAATAAGCCTATGATTTTATGTGGATGATCTTATCAACTGATTATCATTATTTTAAGCAATTTCCGCAATTTATGCGGATGATATTGAAGTAGAAAATAATGCGAATAATGAAGAGAGGCTATTGGATGATGAAACCCAGTATTGGACAGATATTGTGCTTTCGATTGGCTGGCACCACTGCTGAATAAATTGCCCTTCATATGTGAAAACAAGATTAAGCATGTAAAAGAATTTAGACTTTCAGCAGTGCAAATAAATATGTTTGAGGACGCAGTTTTCTGATTCACAGCGGTGCATGACATATTTGTTTTCTGCTTCTTTAAATATAAATGTCTATTATAATCCTTTCACATTTCTCGTTACTCGCCATTAACTTTCAGCTTACTTCATCTAATTTATACAAATATATTAACGGCGTTGCAGTAACGTATAAGAGATAGGATAGATGGAACTTTTATCATTATTAATTTATTTTTTATATTGGATAATTTGTATTTTTGTATTTTTTTTTTTTGCTCATTAAACGATTAGTTCGTTTTTATTGCTATTTTCCAGAAATTTGACCAGGTTAGTTGAATGATTTGATCTTTTTTCAGATTGTTCATTAATTGACAATCATTGTTTGAAAATGACGAATAATGAGAGGACTTTCATTTGCATCAAACCAGATGCTGTACAACGGGGTTTAATTGCCAAGATTATTTCTCGTTTCGAAGAACGAGGATATAAATTAATTGCTATGAAAATGATGCATGCATCGCGACAACATTTAGAAGTAAGCTGATATTGATTCTGATGTAAGGAATTTTTTTAGGGTTAAATTTGATTTCGGAGTGCCAGCGTTGGGTCACCCCAGGCTGGGTCACCCCAGGCCCAAATTTGTCTTCATAAAACTCGGATAAGCCTGAGGCACTTGCGCTTCTACCACCAAGTGACTTGCTTAGCAAAAATCTGGTCTGACAAAGCCAGTGGGACCAGCATAATCAAACTTATCAGAAATGATGAGCTTTTGAATTTCAAATAAAGATTTTCATTCAAAATTTTAGCAAAGTTAAATAAAGTTATAGTTTTCCCTAATTATATTTTGTATTTTCGATATTAAGTTAGAATTTTTATATTATTAGATTCACTATAAAGAACTGAATGGCAAGCCGTTTTTCAATGATCTTATTAATTATATGTCATCTGGGCCCGTTGTTCCTATGGTATGGGAAGGTCTCGATATTGTTAAACAAGGACGTCTAATGCTTGGTGCAACTAATCCACTTGCGTCTAATCCAGGTTTCATTACATTAAATTTGTTTCCAACATTCGACATTCCATTTAAATGATAGTTTTCATTGATGTTCCCCCCGCTTTATTTTGTCTTTCACCTCTATAACGCAAGTAGATTGCATTAAGAAATGAAAATCTGTTGGAGAATTAATTTGATTAATTATATAAATTAATTATATACTATAATAACAATTGTAAATAGTATAAATTATAAATGGGTTTTGCGTTTTGTTTTATTTTCAATCAATCAGGAACGATTCGTGGTGATTATTCTATTCAAACTGGTCGTAACATTGTTCATGGATCAGATTCATTGCAATCGGCCGAACGAGAAATAGCTCACTGGTTTAAACCAGAAGAACTTGTGGAATGGAAATCAGCAAATACTGTTTGGCTTTATGAATAAAGTATCTAATTGATATTAAATAGGTGAAACTCTAACTTTAGTTTTTATATTCTCTAAGTGATTATTTTGAATCATGTTTCATCGTTTTATCGTTGTTTTAGTCATCTAAAGTGATGATAGAAAATACTCTTAAAGTTAACTGTTAATTGACTAGAGGTGAACAATGACTATATATTTATATGTTTAATTTTTTATGAAAATGACGAAATCAATCGAAAAAATCTTTTGTATAAAATTAAGAGAAAAAGAGTGAATAGAAGCCGATTCATTATATATATATATATATATATATTAGGTATTAGATATTTTCTAGAAGTAAAAAGATCTACCAATTTCTAAATGTTGTACCTATGTGAGATCTTTAAAAAATTCATTGTGCTTAGAGAAAAAGTAATATCAAAAATTTAAAAAATATTTTTCGAATAGATTAGACCAGAAGAAAAATATAAGAATCCAAACGTTAAAATTTTAATGCAATTTTTGGTCTGATAATAACTGCTCAATTTTTTCATTAAGTGCACAGTTCCAGTGGTCATTGGATGGATTGTCCAAATGATTTTCAAAATCAGTTATTTCGCGAAATAATTTATTTTGTATTGCTGACAAAACCAGTGATGATACGGCTTCTTCGTTTTCCAGTTGAAATCTAAATTGGACAAATAGATTTATATGACGTAAAAACTGTTTTTGTGTTAAAGTGCCAGAATTTCCTTGGTCTAAGAAAAAAGAAAAAAAGACTTAAAAACTATAAAAACTAACTTCTTGGGCCTCCAGACCTTATTTTGAGAATTATATACTATTATGGAAGCCTCTGATGAATCTGCTCTCAGTGCTGTATTAACGATCTGAAACTTGAAGATTCCTTGGAAAAAAAAACAATAAAAAACTAAGAAAATTATCAAAAAAAAAAGAAATCCATTAATACCTGAACAATTAAGGCTTGCGGAAATATTAAAGCTATTTTGTCAGCTATTCGTACTGCAGAAGGATCGAGACTGAAACACTCAATTTCAGTTCTCGAATATAATAAAAAATATAAGAAATTGATTATTGAAAATATAGCGAAATAAAAAATTCCCTCACAAAATATTAATAAATTTAAAGATGAATTCGGAAATGCATAAAATATGCATAAAATTTACATAAATTATAAAAAGCAATTAAATTTCTTCAAAGTGGACATTTCATAAATAATTTTTTATATTTCCATCAAAAAATATAAATGAACACTTTTTATCATCGAGAAGCTCATTGCAAAAATAAACACCAACAATATTCCAAGAATTATAAGCACATTGAGAATCGACGAGAGCTAGGGCAATTTCGGGTACAACGTTAAGTGAGGCCGGTTCATGCAAAACTGGAACTGCATCGATGCATATTACTCGTTCAGATGACTGAAATACAAAGTTTCACAATGGGAAAATATTTTTTTCTGTTTCAGTTCAAATTTAATGAATTTCTAACTCCTTTTTCGTGAGCATCATCACTATCTGCATCGGTGTTTTCTGGAATATTATTAGAATCACCACTTTCATTATCTAAAACGCCCACGAGGAGACCGAATACTGCACAATGCGGATATTTCAATGCATGAAAAATCATCTTTGCATAGGAGATACAGTTGAAATCTGCCTTTCCTTCAGGTACCATCTTATCTGTAAATTTTAAATAAAGCTGCAGGAAATCCATCGACAATTCTTGTGAACCGATCAAGAACCGTTAATTACAAATATTATTTACTATTTTCCCCTCATAACTTTTAAAAACAAAATTTAATTGATAAGTACCCACAAATACTTTACTGTATGGTACTCCGTGCTACTCTTTTTTTCCTTTCATCTATTTAATAACGACAAGAATACAGTTTTCCCACCTTGTTTGACAATTTTTCAAAGCTAATTAACAAAATTCATTTTCTTGTACCAATATATTAATATTAGTGCCATAGAAGTTTTTTTTCTAATCTTTTGCTTAATTGGAACGAAATTCTAGAAATCTCCTTACTGGATGCCAGAAAAAATCATAAGTACTCCCTATCTTTTAACAAATTTCTCTTTGGCAGATAAAACTGGAACGATTTTTTTTTGCCTATGACATTTGCTCACCCATCGAATCTGATTTGATTAGATAATTCGACGAAGAATTAACAATCGACGAAAAAAACCGAAAAATTTGTTTAAAATTTTATATCCATTAATAAAACTTAATAAAATCGAATTAGCAATATATTGCCATAAAAAAAATTAATTAATGAACTGAACAAAATAAGACAAAAAAAAAAATGAATATGATTTTATATTTTTTATTACAAAAAGAGATCCAAACAGGAAAATAATAATCACAAATTTAGTTGCAATGGTATAACTTCCACTTGAGGAATGTTGTTCTTTAGAGATATATGCGATGAATCGCCATGACGATCAATCGCTGCATTCCAAGCGTGAAGCTAAAAAAATAAGAAATTAGTTGAATAGTAAATAATTAATCTAGAAATGAATGAATTAAAGCTTATTTTACTAATAATATAAATAAATAATAAATAATGACAAGCTCGTAAAATATAAAATACAAATAAAATTTTTCATCTTTTAATAAAATTCTAGTTGGAATGAGTCTGCTGATTAAAACTCTTTCGTTTAAGAGCCACCTGACGATAAAACAAATGAGTTCCGATATCACTTGGATCCAGAAACTTATTAAGTTTTTATATTTCTGTGATATTTTTTCAAATAATTTTATTCTTGTGCTTTTTCTGTTATAAATATAGGATGGAAAAAAATAATTTTCACTTGTTCAGAATGAAGAGCCATTGATTCCATTCGTTGACGTTTTTGCATTAAATCAGCCAATTTTTGAAATTTTTCTTGTACAGCTGAATCTTCAAGAATCGCTGGAGGTTCTCGTTTCGTATCAAGGTACCAAGGATTATAAATTGAACTTTCACATAACATTTGAACTAAAACAATCATTTAATTGACAAAAAAAAATAAAAGATATATCCGCCAATGAAATATCAAAACAATATTTATGTACAATATCTGAGTCAATGAACGATTAAATTGAAATAAAAACGTTAATTTTTTCATTTTTTTTCATTTTATTACCCACCTACAGTAAGTGGTTCGTGACCAATATTTGCTCTACGTGTTCGCATTTTTATAATTTCTCCTTCAGCTTGCATTTGTAACCTTTCTCTTTCAACCTGAATTAATTTAAATATCAACATGCTATGTAAAATTATCAAAAAATGGGAAAGGAGAACAATTTTTCTTTTGAGTGTATATTCACTTTTTTTTTCGTCTGTTAGTTTTAAAAAAATATATTTAAGAATTTCATTTCATAACTAAACAGCTTTAAGCAACGAAGGCGAACCCGTCTACCTCAATAAACGACCATAAAAATCTAAATATTTAAATATTTAAATAACGAAAAAGCCGAGAGGATAGCGGTTCAAACCTATGCAAAGTCCAGAAATGGTGAGAGTTAACCATTTATTTAATTTTTACAAAAAAAAAAAAAATATTAAGTAAAATATTTTCTCTCTTCTTTTAACTATATTACATCTAAAATATGAATCTAAAATATTCAGAAGATGCTTAGTTACAAAATGTAAAGAAATATTAAAATATAACCTTATGATATTCTTCCAAATCTTGACGGGCAACGAGCTGAGCAGAACGGAGATCGCGTAATTTCCCAGTTAATCTGTTGATAATTTCATTTTCCTCCTTAAAAAACAGTTGTTTTTTGATTATAAAATAAAAAATAGATAAGTAATGACTTCAGGTTTTTACTTCAGCTTTGATTAGTACAAAAAATATAGTTTCTTTTATTTCAATCGAAATACCATTATTTACAAAAGGCTGGTAATTGATATACCGAATTTGGTGCCCCCTGCACAACCGCTTCTTCAATATTACTTTGTGCTATCATGTATTTATCATAATTCTTTGGCAGTTCGGGTGACGCACTAGGTACCGACATTGCGTCAATCCATCGCTGCTCAATCTGAAAATAAAAAAATTTTAATATACTAATGGCATATTTTATTTTGAAAAAACACAGAAGAAAAGCAAATTTTCTTTCTTTTAAAGTATGAACCCTTACAGTAAGATGTTTTATGAATTTTTTTGTCATATTAGGTAATAAAAATGATAAAACAATTATGAAAAAAATAAAACCAATGATCGAAGACTACGATATCCATCATATGCATTTTTTTGCATCAAAATTAATGGAACTGTGACTGATTCATCTGTACTAGTTGCTTCAGTTTGTCCCTCCATTTCAGCTTAAAGATAATAAATGATAAAAAATTACCATACCACTAGAAAATAGATAAGTAATGACCTCAGGTCTTCACTTCAACTTTGATTAGGACAAAATATAATAGTTTTTTTATTTCAATCGAATTTATTTTTTATTTTCATATAATTTCATTTATTATTCTTTTATTACTATTACTCATAATAAGCTTGATGTACCAAATTTAGTGGCGCCTGCACAACTGGATTAAAATTTTTGGCAACCATGGAAAAAAAAGAGTAAGTTTAATAACTTTTTCGCAAAGGTATTCGATAAATATATAACAACCAATATAAAATATTAGTTCCAATATGAGGCAATTAAAAGAGGGAAATTAATTACAAAATGAAAATAATGAAATGCTGAATAAAAAGCCCTTTGCCCATTTCAAATATTCTAAAATCAAAATTTTTCAAATATTTCTTTACTGATTCATTTTCAGAAATTATCCATCACATACCTTCATTCATATCATTTATCTCTGACTGACCAATGGTTACTGGGTCATCATTTGTTGAATTATCATCAATATTAGGAGTAGGTGGCTGCAATTTCCGCCATGAAATATTTTTACGTTTGCTAACATCTTCATATGAACCATACATTTCACGTACCTGTCGACTCTTTTGCCGAAATTTGCTCCTAAAACTTAGTCATTTAAAGTGGAATATCAAAAATGGAAAAAATGCAAAAAAATAATGGAAAAAATAGTAGAGTAATTAAATATAATGATTATAAATACAATTCGTTCGTTATCTAAATATACAAAAGTTTTCACATATAAAGAACCAAAGAAAATAAGAATATTTTAAAAAACCTGGTGATTCTTTGTATCCCTTCAGTATCTTTTCCAACAAGTTCTTCATTATTATATTTTTTGATTTGCCCTTTATTTATTCGCCCATTTCTTCGTCCAGATCCAGCAACTGATGAAGGCCCTTCATCAGTGAGCGTAGCAGCTTGACTGTCTTCACTCGGAGTTCGCGGCAATGATATTCTGAGAGGAGGCACCTAAATTAAAAGATGGACTTGAAAAACTTAATAATACTTCCTTATTTTATGCAATAATATTTTGGAGATGATATTAATCTATAAACAAATCCATCAATGTAACAAGAAAAAAATTAAGAACAAAAGGAAAGAACTTTGCGTCCCGTCGGTGATTCATTTTTCCCATCAATTTGTTCATTTGAAACGCACCCTTCATTTTTACCAAATTCACTGTCTAAATTCGTGCTATCTTCTTCTTTTTCTAAAAATAATCATGCGATCAGTTATCGAGATAACCAAAAGAATTTTTCTCATACGGAAATTGCTTTTGATATGATATTATGATTCAATCAAGCATGCAATATAAGCAAGTAAATTTCAAGTAGGAAAATTCAAAATTTCAAAAACATACGTTGTTGGGAAGTTTCATTATCTGGAAGACCAACACATCGGCGTTTTGGTAAAGAAGGTGAATCAGCCATTTCCTGATCCATATCGGTATTTATCTTCTGGAACAACATCAAACAAATAACATAAAGCTAATTAAGCAAAAAATTATATGAATATAAATATTCGAATGATCCAAAGAAATATTCAAAGTTTAATTCAGAAAAAAAAGAGAAAAACAGTTCAGCTCAAACGATTAGCCACATGGATAACTGAAAAAAGAAAAGAACTTCAATTGAACGTAACATTCATCTTCAACCAGATAAATGTTATTACCATGGCAATTAATGCTAATAATTCCCTTCAAATGCAGTTAATTAATTATATTAACAAGCGAAAAAAACTTTTGACCTATTCATCTAGCAATTTTTAACTAAAATATCGCACTTCGAACGATTTAATGCAAATGCAATAGAGTTTTTGAATCAATATGAAGAATTTTCATATAAAAACTCAAAAAAACTGTTGGCGTTTACTCCTTAATCTTCTTAAATCGTGGAAATTTCTTATGAGGAATTTAAACAAAACTAAGAATTAAAAAATCAATTCATATTAGCCATAATAAAACATAATTTTCTCAAATTTCATTAAAATTGCTAAAAAATATTTCGTAAAAAGAACGCAAAAACGATGAGATTTCAATGAACTTATTTTTGGAAAATCATTGAAAACTTCAAAAAATTTCTTTTGACATATGGCAAAACGCTTGTATAAACAGACATGTTAATAAAACGAAAAATACATCTGCATGTCTATAACTATTCAACACTACGAAAGTGAAGTTCATTTATAGAATGCAGACAAACGCAATACAATATAAATAAAAAAAATTGCCCATTGCCTAAAGTTCATAATATAATTAAAAAGAAACTCCTGTTCATTGTCTAGTACAACTGGCGCCAATATTTATAAAAATTTTTAAAAAACTAACATTTAAATTTATATCAGATTCCGGACTGCTCCGAAATTCATAAACATCTTCAACATTTGGTTGGTAAGTTGATGAAAAATTAACACCTGAAGTTTGCACATTTCCACCACGACCACGCCGTCTTCCTCTGAAAAAAATTACTAAGAATAATCAAATAAGGAAATTCATGGGATTAAAATATCTCACATGAAAAGAACTAAAAATTCTGAAGTAAGGCATATTTTGCTGCGAATTCAATATACGCATCAATAAGAAAAATATAAAACAACCCACTAAATCTACTAAATATGCAATAATGAAACCTTGGTTTTCGTTTCTCGCCAGCACCAACAGCCGACTTTTGATGCTTCTGTTGGGCCGAATAATGATCGCGACGAAGGAAACCTCTGGGACGTCCTATTCGCCTTGTTTCTGCATCAAAAGTATCACGATTCGAAAATGGTAAATCCAACGACAAATCATCAAAATCAAGTGCAAAATCATTTTCAGACAATGCTGCTTCACCACTACATTTTGCTTGATCTGCTGCCGTAATCAAAGTTTCATTGCTGAAATCTATGTCGAAATTTATGAAAAACTTCCTTGCAAGAAAGTTTGAAATTTTATATAAAATTTCAAAGAAAATAAATAAACTGAAATTATCTGAACATTTTCCTCTCGTAACACTGAAGACAACCTAATCCACTTTTTTCTTAGAATAAACTTAACCATAACGCTTATAATTTAATATTTATATTAAATTTAATTATATGATAACACTATATTGAATCATAATATTAATTAAAATGCATGCGTAAAAGTGTCGAAAATTCAAATATTATTCTAATAAAAAAATGTAAAAGCAAAAAAAAATTAACCCAGATTCCGATTTGGTCAAATCTGCTCCACCATTATCACTTTTTGATGGCTCTACTTCCTGAAAACAATTAATTTGAAAAAATTATGAAGATAATAATAATAAAATATAAAAACCATAAATGACTCTAAGACGACAGTTTTTTAACCGTAGATTAAAAAAAGTTCAAAAAATGGAAATTTGACGAATACAAGCTACAAGTAAAATAGAATAAATAAAATCAAATAAATTTAAAAAAAACACCTTTTTAAAGATAGCAGCTGATGATGCGATTGAACTTGAATCTACTGCAGAACTCATGGAAGGACCTTAAAAAAATCATAAAATAAATTTCGCTTGGTTAAAATCAAATAAAATCAAATAAGTAAAAAAGAGTAGTTAAATTGATAGAGATTTCCTTCAAATTGAAAGAAAAGGATGAGGACTTGAAATTCAATAAGACTGCAAAGTGCTTAGCGCTCACTAATTCTGGTTAGGGTTGGAAATTCAATAAGACGAAATCGCATTACGAATTATTATCTCGATTCAGTTTAGATTTTGGCATTGGCATTTTATCAGCAATTTTTTTAAAATAAATAAAAACAACTGGAATTCTCATCCATAGAGACTGTCTTGTCAGAAGCTTTAATTGGGCTTATTTCTACACTTGAGAAAGAATGAACTTCGTCGTTCGCAGGGACTGCTAAAGAGCGAGCTTCTGAATAATTCGACGATTCAATATCCCTTGAGCAAGAGGCTATCGAACAATGCTGTGCTTCCTAAATATAAAATGTTGAAATCCACAATTTTTAAGAATATCTATTCAAATTATGTTAATTATTTTTTCCAAATTATACAGGCAGATGCGGCAAATCAACATTATACACTGAATAATTGAATTTAATAATACATTATTCAATCTATTTGTTATATCCGTATACATAGAAAATTAACCTAAGCATTAGCTGCAAATTTTGAAACGGCAAATACCAAACAATAGTAGTCAAGCAATAAAATCACAATAGGCGATATAATAGATGAAATGGGGGTAATAAAATAATGGGAATAAGATTTTAAAAAAATAATATAACTGGGATTTAGCTATTGTGAAAGCAGTGTAATAGAGTTGATTTATTAATACTGCAAGAAAAATTTTATGTTGCTATACAAATTTAGCGGTTTTTTATGTTGTATTATGTTGAAGATGAATGGATAATGGCAAGATTTTAAAGGATTATTATGTTCAGCAAATTTTTTTAGCATTTGCAGAGTTGGCAGAGATATTAGTAAGAAGAATAGTATTAATCAGTATCAGAGAAATATATAAAAATTACCGAAATTTGAAATTTAATTCTTTAAAATTTTGCCAATATCACCTCTCATATACTATTGAACCGATACAAGCGCAATAATATAGTATAAAATCTTTCTTGCAGTATCAGACAAACAAACTTTTGACAAACTTACAGAGATTTGCGAACGAGGACTTAGCTGAATCGAGTCCTCCGTCGCCGAATATGATTCAGGAATCACTGAAGATTCGAGTAAAGAGCGAATCGCAACACACTGCACCGAACATAAATCAACTGGGCGTTTACCAGAATTGTTTAAGCAATTGCGACAGGCACCTGAACGCAGCAATAACCAAACAAGCTGAAAAGTATTATAACAATAATATATATTATTAAAAGTAAAATCATTCATTTCTTAAGTAGTAAAAGTCACTTCAAATTTCTATTATAAAAAGTTACGATTGACAAACACAAATCGTGAAAGACGGGAAAAATTTTTCTCCTCTCTCCGTTTATATTTTTTTACTTCACTTGTTCACTCGTTTCGATAAACAATTCGATGAGATGAATGTGACAAACAAATATGACAAAGTAATGACAAGCAAAATCAAGCAAATCCATTATCCATAATCCCTTACTCTCATTCCATTTCAATAACCAAAATCAAAAAACCTTAACAGATATGCCGTCTTATACTAAAAACCAATATAACAGAGCAACAACAACAATTATAGTTCTAAAGGATCGACTAAAAGAAAATCTTTCATCTTCAAAATTCTCTCCAAAAAATTCATTTCTTATTTTGCTACTCCAAAATATTTTGTACCAAAATCAAACAATTAATTTCGTTTACAATTAAATTTAGAGTTCCACTTGAAAATGTTTATTGGCAAAAATTATTGAAAAACTGATCAGAAAAAAAAATTTTAAAATATTCTATGTTAAACAACTGAACAACTGAAACAGAAAAAGGAAATCAATCAACCTTATCTGAGCCGCTCGAAGCAGCGTCATGCAATGGAGTATCAGCACTGTCGGATAATGCGTTCACATCAGCTCCCGAGCTGAAAACAAAAACAAGTTATTTTTTCCTTCTTTTTCGTTTTTTTCTCCTTTATGATATTTGCTGAAATTTCAGCGCAAAAAAAAAAAAAAAAATGCGAATAAAGAGGAAAATCGAATAAGCATTGTGTGAAAATTTATATTATTTAAAAATTTAATACATTTATCTTCTTCTGATAAGCATTCGATAATGTAAAAATAATAAACAATAATCGAAAACAAATTGCAAAAATATTTTTTGCTCATTTTTCCTCAATGATATATCTCTTCGATTTGAACTATTTTCTCTGAACAAATTACACGATAATCATTTTTTGTCTAATCGAATATTGAAAAAAAAGAATATTAAAAAATAATGCGAAAATAAAAAACGCACATACAAGCCTATCTAAAAAAAAAATTATTGCTTCACTTGAGAAGTTCCATGACATTCTTTTACTATTCCCTCATATTCGACCAGATTCAATGGATATATTAAATTTGAATTATAATATTGCATAACCACATAAAGCTGACAAGTAGGATACGACCAAGAACGAAGATAAGATGAACAAATAATTTTTTTCCTAGCAATATCATTCGCAATTCACGCCACCAAGGATACCTTCTATTAAATTAAACTAATCGAAAACAATAGTGCAACAATTTCTTAAAACGCATTTTTGCTGGAATTATAGTCTGGACTTTTGGTTTAGTCGAAATCCATTTCGTATTAAAACAGCTCCAAAATTTCAATGCAATAAGAGAAATATAAGAAATTGTTCCTTCTTTATAGTATATAATTTAATACTAAAATGCACATACATCTAGTGCACCATACAAAATTTCACATCTTGATAATAAGCTTTGGCAACAGGCACCATGTGGCACAAATTTCGCATGTCATTATGGATTAATTCGAAATGATAGAAATAATCCGATTTTCTAACCATTTCCAACGATATATTTCGATCGAATTCATTATGCACCAAAAATTTAGAAATAGTATCAACAGAGAAATTTACAAAAAGAAATACCTTATCAGAAGTTTTGCAACCTTAAAATTTGCACGAGAACAAGCCTCATGCAACGGTGTCCAACCAGCATAATCTTTAGCATTTATCATTGCACCATCTTGTAATAATTTCTTACATTGTTTATATTCACCACGACGCGCAGCAACATGCAATGCCGTTTCACCTCGTTCGTTCTTCTTGTAAATCTGCACAATCATTTCTTCCACATTTCCATATTTTATTTTCAAGAATATTTTAAGAATAAAACAAAGTAAAAATTCAATTTAATTATTGTAAAACAGATGAATTGTTTTCCTGTTTCGACATATGCAAACGTGAATCGACCACTTTCAACGGATATTTAATAACGATATTATTAATTAACCCTGGGTACACGACGAAGTTTAGTTGCTGCCGATGATGAGCAACTGTCAGTTCGATGCAAAGACGAGTTTGACGAGGATGAATCGGATGCGGTAATCGGCTGTTCCATCTGTAATCCACTAGTTCCTCATGTCCATAATTTTTCCATTTTTCTATTATAAAGTATCTTCTTTTTTTCGCCTTGCTTTTACGTTGCAAATTACTAACAATATTTCTTAATACTTTCTCATATACAAAAGGACTAAAATTTTATTGTATTTTATATTTTCTTAAGAAATAAAAGCATAAATAAATTTCAATATAAAAGAAGAAGAGAAAAAAACAATGATTAGTTATCAATAAAATTTCGATATCATTATCAGCAATCAACTAAATTTAGGAGCTTTTTTTCATTGCTTACGAAACGATTTCCTCGTTTTTCGATTTCACTTTTTTTTTCACATCACAATAAAAACATTAATAAATGCATTAATTGATGTAAAATCTTACAATTTATAAAAAATAAAATAATAAATGAATAAAAATAAATAAAAAATAATAAATAATAAAAATAAAATAAATAAAAAATCAGAAAAGAGAAGAAAAAGCGATATGTTCATTTTTTGTTTTAAAAAAAACTAAAGTAAATAATGAAAATATTTCCACTTGAATAGAAGTTAATTAATATTTACGAAAAATATACTCAAAACTTGAGAAATATGTTCCTTCTGCAAATTAGTATTTATTTTCTTTATAATTCTATTCAAAATTTAAAACAGAAAAATGTAAAAAAATTTTTTTTTTATTACTCTAATTTAGATAATTTTCAAATTACTATTTGAAAATTTTAGCAATGAGCAGTAAATATATTCTCGTCGACAATAGTATTAGACAATCTTTGCCAATCCTCCAATTTCCTCAATCCATCGTAATGAACGCGCAATAAAGAAAAAGGAACCAAATTTCGACATAAAATCATAAAATATCATCAATTTTCGCTATAGGAATGATTAAAAAAAAAAAATGAAATGACTCTTTTTAGTCGATGAAAAATTATAAAAATTAAAAAAATATGCTACAATGAGAAGGTGAAGAGAAAATATGCATAGTAAACGCAATAAACTAACGAGAAACAAAGAAAACAACATCGTCGCCGAAGGAAAAATTTTTTCGACGGCCGCCGATAACGATGATGAAGAAGACGATGAGCATAAATCAATTGTAATTTTCCATAGTGATTGCACCAGTCTCGACGAATAATAAATATTTTTATTATTGCTATGAAATTTACATGAGAAATGCTCATTTTAATTTCCCTTATTGCGAATATATTTTTCTATTTATTCGATTTTTTCTAATTCACTCATTTAAAAATATAATATAATCATCTTTTAATTATTTTAATAATTTTGGTAACTATTTTGATAATTTTATAAAAAATTTAATTTTCCAATAATTTTAATTTTTTTCTTCATACACAAATACTTTTTCATAATTCGAATTTTCGTCATTATCAATAAAAATAAAAAATATTAGCAAAATTATTTTTTCTTTTTCAAACAGCTCTCACCATTACTGGTTAGGCTGGCTCCACTGGCTACAAGGGCAAGACGTCTCCAAACTGCTCGTCATCGCTGGTAATAATAAAAGCCAATCCTTTTTCCATCGTCTAAATCCAGATATCACTGGTCCTTTTATATGTTCAAAATTTTCTGGTTGCATATCAGTCCAAGTCTCTAAGTAAAACTATCAAAATATTATTATGCGATTTAGATTCATAAAAAGAATACCAACATTTCAGTTTTTTTTTTGTGAAATTAAATTTGAAATTAATTTTTCTTTTGATTAATATGTCATTATTCCTATTGTTATTATTAATTAATGATTGTTACTGATTACTATTGATTATCAATGATTACTATTCAATTTTTTATCAATAATATGTCATGATTTATCTCTTATTTTAATATCTTTTACTATTTCTCATTACACTAACTACTACACTAACTACACTAAATATTGAAAATCCATTGAGGAAAGCAATAATTTAAGTGGACTCTCATCCTACTGCTTAAATATTATTATCATCTATCATCGTTAAAATTATTTACCGTTATTTATTTTATTAGCTATATTATTAATATTGTTATCACTGTTAATTATCATTAATCGCATTAAATGCTATTAAATGCTCTTTTATTGTACCAAATTAAAACGCTGTTAAAACTCGAAAACATTACTTGACACCGAAGATTCTTAAAAAAACAATAGAATTTCTAATTATATTCCTTAATTATTTGGCCGTTGTCTAATAGGTCTTTGTGATTTTTTTAAAATATAGGAAAATTATAAAAAAATATTTCCAATAATAATAAAGTAATACAAATAATACAATTTATTATGGTTTAAAGAAGTAAAAATTAGGAAAATTACAAAACTATAATAATTAATTTACAGGGAATATTTCATAAAATTTAAAATAAAGCAATCAAATTTCGAAAAGTAAACCAAATCAAAAAAAATCTCTTATCAAAAGATTTGAGGAAAATTATCAAAAATCACTCATTCATTTTCTCAAATTCAAATTCGAAATATTGTCTATTCTTTTAAAATGAAACAAAAAAAGAAAAAAAAAACCAATTAATTTGCGGCTGACAAATTAGTCCAAACAAAAACATAAGAAAAATTTAATGAAATGTTAGCAGAAACCGGTCCGTGAAACAACTTTTTTTAAAATTTCTTTTCTAATTACTCCATCGACAATCTCCCTTCAGTGAATCTTCTCGCACTTAAAAATTAGAAATCATTAAATTCGAATCTTCCATCTCTAAAAGATTCTTTATATATTTTAAAATTTTATGCACAAAAAAGATTCTGCAGATTCTGTCCACATTTCTATGAATTGAATTTTTTTAAATCTAAATCTAGAGGCCAATTCATTAAATAGTCGAATATTATCCAGCAAAATTTCGTCGATATTCTTTTCTATAGGAAATAATTAAGTAGAAGCAAATATGATTTAAATCCTTTCATTAATTCCAAAGTTAATTGAAATACTACAATGATGGTACTTTTAAAGAATTGATTTTAATGTGCCCAACGAGAAAATAAAGAATGAACGATCGCCTCTATTTTTTTAATTGTTTAACTTTTTTTGAAATAAATTAGCTGCTAATTTTTTAACTAATTAATTATACTTATATTTAACTTATATATGAAACAAAATATGGCATTATTAATAAAAGATTTATCTGCAACTCATTCAGTTAGTCAAATCATATGCCGCATATTATTTTGACCAAAAATTACGAAAAAAATTTAAAAAATAGAAAGAAATGAAAAATAAAACGGAAAAATGTACTTAATTTGGCGTTTATGCATCATCGGCGATTAATGGAAATATTTAATAACTAATGAGAGAAAGTTCCGATAAAAAAATTAGCGCAAATGACATAAAATAAAACATGAAAAAATAAATAAGGAATAAATATGTATAAATATTACCTATTAGCATGCGCGTCGGGAGATGCGAACATTACGTCAAAGAGACTTGACCATAGAGTCACTTGGGGATAGAGATACAGGTAGATCCCCAGCAGCCACCCGGATTTTTGACATCATGACAGGTTTACTCCTGTCAAAGACAGAGAATAGAGATAAACAAATTAAATTTAAAAAGAGAAACTTGACGATAAAAAGAAAGTTTTTAAGAAAGAAAAAAAAAAACTTCCGTCAAACTGATAAAATCACCCATGAATATAACCGTCTTCGTTTCTTCGTTCAAATACCACCTGTATTAATGATATTATCACAAAGAATCGCTTTGCTGATTAGGACACGTTCTCTTTCATTCAGGAGCCGACGCATATTTTTTACTTGCTAAACCCTATGATGGTTGGTGTCAAAAACAAAGAAGGCCAGTCAAGATCTGGAAAGATTTTAGGAAACTGACAGGAAAGACCTTTAGAAAAGATTCAGGAAAGATTTTGAACGTAGATAGACCATCAAATTCAGGAAAGATTTTGAACGTAGATAGACCATCAATATATGGACTTAGACGATGGAAAAAGGAATGCTTCTATTACTACTAGTGATGGCGTCGGACTGAACAACTTGGAGACTTACTCTTACTTTAGTAGCCAGCCTAACCAGTAATGGTAAGCACTGTTAAAGAAGAATACCTATTAAAGAATGACTGTGTTACTTCCAAAACTTCCAGAAGATGAAGTATGAATATCAAGGCAATTATTGCAATTAGCCAAAAACTACAATTGAAAACATAAAAATGAATAATATAATATTATAATAATGAATAAAATAAATATTAGTACTTTGAATCACCATTAAATATTCCCTGATAATAAATTAAGCCATTTTTCAGGTATATTTCTATCTTCGAAGGATTTTTATCCCATCTTATTTGGCCAAAAACTAGCTGAATCAAACATCTGCATATTATTTGAGCAAATAAGTGTTCTTGTGAATATTAATTATTCATTTCTGTCACACTAATAAAACTAATAAAATGACAAAATGGACTTTACAGATTTTAATGCAATATATCATTTCAAAAAAAAAAAAAAAAATGGTGCTTATAGCGCATATACCTATATCACAAAACAAAGTAATTCTTATAATTCTTAAAGGTTAATAAGTTCCATAAATTCTTTCAAGAAAAACAAACTACGTGACTGAATGTCATCGATGAATTTATGAAACAGCAAATGCTGAAAACATTACATTTTTCTATCACGAAAAACAAGCTATTTTATCATTTAAGCAAAAATGGCATTAATAAATTAGAGCAAAAGCAAGGCGAATAAGATAGTTCATAATGGAAAAGAATGATAAAAAAGAAAGAATTTATGGCTACCTGTTTAATAATGGCAATCTGTTTCCGTAAGCTAACTGGATAAGATGGTAAGGGTCCGCCTAATTGAAGTGAACTGCTAATAGATGGCGATAACTGAGAAGCCGTCGAAGATCTACGTTGCTTCCCTGTCGATGAACGACGCGCTTCTAAATTTGAATTATATAAACAGGAAATTAAAAGTTTAAAAAGAAAAGAATTTTTATGTCATAAATATAAATAAAAATTAAATAAATATAAATATAAATAAAAATTTACAAACTTTCCGTTTTTTTCTAAAATTTCCATATAACAATTTTTACAGTTGTTTTCAGCCATTTCACAAAATATATTTTGTAATGAGAGAATTTTTTTTCTAATCATTTTTTGTAAACAAAATCATCCAAGAAATAAATCAAATTGATTCAACAAATATGAATCATGTTGTATGTGTGATTAAAGCATATTATACATTTTTAAATTCGAAATTTTAAATTTGTCAAAAAAAAATTAATTTTCCTAATAAGAAAAATCATGCCACAAATTTTTCGTTATGGAGAGAAAATATTTAATATTTACAAGTTTGCCGATATTTACAAGTTTATTTAATATTTACAAGTTTACAATTTTTCGTTATGGAGAGAAAATATTTAATATTTACAAGTTTGTTCACAAATTTCTCTAATTTATCAAATATAAATATAATTATTTGTATAAACATGTTAAATTTGAAATATTTAATTAAATAAAAGATTTGAGGAGCATATAAGTGCTCAATTCTTGAAATTTTATATAAAAGGAAATCAAAAACGGAGACCGGCTAGTATCCAATGAACCCATATGACTAGTTGAACATTAAATAATTCCTGAATTGGAAATGAATTTGCTTGAACCGTCGTCGAAGGAATATTTTTCAAATATTAATATTTTTCTTTCTTATTACTTGTTGAAATTCCGAAAATGGTAACTAACTAGCAAACAAGATAAGGAATCAACAAAACAATTCAAAAGATGATGGCCTTCATAAAAGAAAAGAAAAACAAAACTGCAGAAAAGGTAATAGAGTATGAAGAAAGTTTCTGGTGTCCTTAGTGGTTTGATGAATGAGGCAGATAAAAGCCCTGCGGACTGACTCCAAAAGTAGCAAAAATGCTTTCGTCACTTGGCAAAAATAAAAGCAATATATAAATAAAAACAATTTTTAAAAACAAATAATAAATAAAGTAATATTTTAAGAATTCTCAGATTTTAAAATAAATTCGAGATTTTATTCAGATTTATTTATTTACTAAATTATTCGTTTGTAATGAATTTTGATTTCAGTTTTCTTTCAGTTTTCAAGTTTTTACATTTCACACCTTTTACTTTTCTGCCTTTATTTTTCATATTTTCAAATAACAAAATAACAAAATTCTAATTATATAAAAACTACAAATTTTACACCAAATTTTGTTTTTTTCATTAAGTCTAATTATGCAAAATTTTAAAAACCAACTTGAAGAATGTTCATGGTCGGGTTCACTTGCAATTGAACCATCATCAGATAAATCTAATTCAAATGGACGATAATTCAAGAAATTTTGTACCGTAGTTGTAGTTGAACTTAACGTTTCCTCACTGTTTTCTTTTAGTGACATTTATCAAAAATTGATAAACCACAGTTCAAAAAAAAATACTGAAAAAAGAAAATCCTGGAAAAAAATAAATAAATAATAAATATTTCTCAGTAACAATCGTATCATAAAGACAAAAAATTTTGAAAATATATAAATTTTTAAAAAAATAGTTTTAACAAAACTAATATTAAAATAAAAGTAATTTCATTAAAAAGGAAAAAAAAATGAAATGCAAAACTCTTACAGAACACATTTGTTATCACTAAAAATTATAATTTGCGAAGAAAACTCGTTCCATTTCAGATTAAAACCCTTTCAGATAAATTGCACAACACTTACGTATGCATATTGAGCGCAAACGTTTAATGCATTTGGTCTATAATTTAGCCAATTTCACTTATATAAAAACTATTTTTAAAAAAACCTGGTTAGAAGAAAAAGATTTGTTCTTCACTGGTAAAATATAATAAAGTTCCAAAAACCTATTCAGTTTTAACTTCTTTAAATGCCCCCATATAAGATTAGCGTAAACTAGCGGGAAGATTAGCGAAATGAACCCACAATAAATTTAATCAACTCACCAAAAAAATACTGCAAATAAAAGAAGATAACAGAAAAAAACCTAATGAAAACTGAAGCGCCAATTTATTATCGTATACAGAGAATCGCTTCAAGATCTTTCATTATCCCACATTTCTCTATTTTAATAGCTCAATTCCTTTAATGGCTGAACAGGCTTCGGTTGGCTAGGAGGTAAGGTTGGCTAAGATTAAGAAACCAAATGGATCAATCGTATACCGTGCCAGATGTTAAAGGGAGGCGGCCTGTATGCTCAGGATTTCTTTAGAGTGCATTTGTTAAAATCTTGATTGGTTCTTCTCACCATCCAACATACGATTCAGCAAGTCCTTCCCTGCAACGGGCAACGAAAAGCTTGGCCTAACCAGCGTAATCGATCCTTCGCTTTAGCATAATTTTCAAATTTTTGAAAGAATTTTCAGTAAAATTTTTAAATTATTAAAATGTATTTTAATATAATTCTTAATTCTTAATAATAATAATTTTTAAATTTTTAAAATAGATTTTAGTGTAATTTATTTTGTTGACATTTTTGATATTAATAAAGTTTTTTTTTTTCAGCAAAATTCATAGGAAAGATTAGTAAATAAAAAAAATTTCTAAGAATTGCTTTTTTACTGCCCTCATTTTGAGCCTAAAATATAACCACGGCGTTGGAAAGTAATAAAGAAAGATTGCGTTTTTGCATGGTGCATCGACACTACTCGATTCTCCTCTATTATTAAAAAAGTTCGGATCATTATTCGGGATCATCATTAATTCATATAGAATTAACTAATGATTTTAAGTAGAATGGCTCAGTGTTTTACTCAGTGCTTAATTCGCAGCACCGACATTGAGGTTCTATTCCCCGCAGGAGTAAATCTGTCCAAAAATCCCGGTAATATTGTCGACTCACCTGCGCTTCTATCGCTAACGGATTCTCTAGCATATTTTTCTAGTGGGGTAAGCCAACGAAGCGAGTGAATGCTCTTAACCAGTAATGGTGAATGCTCTCAACAAAAAAAACTACTGATTTTATGAAATTCAGCAAGGATTTCGTGAAGGTGTGTCGTTAATATTTGTTATTATTCTAATATATTCCACTGGAAAAAAAGCTGGTCAGTTTTTCTACCATTTCTTCCCGTTTTTCACTTTTTTTCCTTCCTTGAGTGCACTAATTGTGGATCGACATATAGGGAATTTTCGCAGGACTGTGGTATACTATGCACCAAAACATTTAAAAGGATAAAAATTGTAAAATGGGTTTTCTTTCAAACTAAATATACCCTTCCAAGTATCCATTTTAGATATTTTGATTTGATTTCTGATTATTTTTCGTTCACTATAATCGATTTAGACGATAGGTTCCACTGCCTATTGTAGCCAACTCGTTATGTTCACAGCAAATTGTAAAAAATATTTTACAATTACTATAAATTTTTGTATTCATTAAAGATTATTAAATAAAATTTTGTTTTAATAAAATAAAAATTTCACTTTTTCTTCCAATCAAAAGAAATTATTTTTGCAGTAATTTATCACTTAAGAACGTTTTGTTTATCGAATTTCTGAAATTTATTTTTAAAAAACATTGTGAAAATTTTATTTGACAATGAATTTATTTGACGATGAATTGGTAAGGAAAATCGCAAACTTTTTATTTGCTTATTAACATGGCAATTCTGTACATAATCACAATTTGAACTATTCGATTTAAACCACAAATTATTAATATAATTTTAATTAAACAACTAAAAAATATTTTCGAAGAATAGCTGAATATGCTAATATATAAATATATTTTTTGTTTGAAGAAAAAATTATTAGCAAAACGGTTATGGTTTCGATCTATTAAAAGCTGCGAACATATTGCCAGATATTTCTTGGACGCCCTCGCCTAACAATGAAACTTTATTTGATAACTGCGAATATTCTTTCGTACATTGATCTATTACCCATTCAATACCTTTCCGTCCCTGAAAATTTTCTTTTTTTAAATTTCTCTTATATCTAATTTGCACTAAATTTTAACTCTTTTAACTCTTAATGTAATTTAACCTTTAAGAATTTCAAATTTTGATATTGAACTGAACATCTTTCATTCAAATCTGTATTTAATATCCAAATTCATTTCGAATTGACCGCCAAATCAATGAAAAATAAAAAAGCACCTTTTCAGCATTTGACTGATATATGCTTAGAAAAGCTTTTTCACAATAATCGGTAAATGCCGGCAAAATAACCGTAATTGCTGCTTCTTGTCGAAGAATTGTTCTAAATATTTTTAAATTGATTTTTCATTGGAAACACTAACAAAAATGACGGAGGAACAAAAAATGAAAAAAATTTTAAAAAAATTATTAAATTTAAGAAAAATTATTTATTTTATATATTTTCATTTTCTTTTCGAATTTTATGTTACATAAATAATATCAAAATAATTTACTTTGTTCTATCGAGTGGATCAGGAGTGTAAACTAGTTTCTCGTCAACTTGCAAAAAATGAGCTCCATTCAGCTAGAAAGTGCAAATCGTATACAAATGAAATTTTCAAAAAGAAATGAGAAAAATGCTCAAATATTTTCAATATTTCAATATAGTTTAAACATCGAAGTTTTAAAAAACAGAGATATAATATTAAGGAATCAAAATTACGAGAAAAGCTAACATTCCTGGTTAAAAGTGTCATCGTTTCAGAAGCTGGATCAACAATAGATACTTCGTGAGAATATTGCATGCCAGAAAAGCCTGTTAGCTGTAATTATCAAAATATGAAATGGAAGTCAAAATAACAACGACAAACTTCTGCACGACAAATCAAAAGCAATAAAAGAGAATAAAAATAAAAATTTACCTTCGTTGCCCAAGTCGGAATGGGAAAATGACTTTGTAAGATTCTTTCGGAACGAAGCGTTCCATTTTTCTGAATATCTTGCTTGATTACATCTATACCCGTTACAGCACCATTCATTGGATTTGGATATTTCTTCCACGCAGCAGTGACAACTGTGTTCCAAGGATGACTAGAAAAAATCTGTTCAATTATAAAAATGAAAATAATAATAACATAAAAAATTCTTATTTATTAATACGTCCATTTTTCACTTTTCGGTAAACATATGCATGCACTATTCGCTATACACTATTGCACTATTCATAATGACTCGTTTTCAACCACTATTACTACCACGATCATCAAAATGCATTCGCGATCATCGCTATTACTAAAATTATAAGAACTCAAAAATAAGAATTATATGAAGAATAAGCTGATTTCGAATAAATTCTATTGAAATTTTTTCTTTTTCAATGAACAAACTCACTCGAAAACATGTTCCGAACTCCAAATCTTCATTGTAAAGGAAAATTACTGAAAAATGGTAATAAAGAATTAAAATAGAGAATTTTTCATCGCCTATTCGAATCAAAAAAATGAAAAATATAGAAAAAAAATAATTCACTAAATGCAAAATTACAAAAAACAAAAAACAATGAGAAAATAAAAAAATAGATTAATAATCAACAAATAAAATTAATGCCAAACGCTAACTAATTTTTTTTCTTTTTTGTTGTTTTTTATAAAATAATTAATCTTTTTTCATGCACTTTACGTGGAAAGCAATATCAGAAAATTGTTTACTTGCTTTCATTTCATCGTTATTTCCTTCTCTACAACTTTCTTTTTCCTTTTTCCTTCATCTTCGTTCATTCCTATCACATTGACCTACTACATTTCCTTTCAAAAAATTTACTTAAGCCGCATTATAATATCTATAATATATCTTCTTTCATCCAATCAATGTGGCCCTATTATTTTCCATATAAAAGAATTGATCTCTGCCGTCCATGTCATCGAAATACATCCATTTATTTATTATTTAATAAAATATAATAATATAATAAAATATAATAAAAATATGAAAACTACAATAATATGAATTAAAAACTTACGATAAAAATCGAGGATTATATCGATTTTTTGCTATTACGCTGATATTATTTTTGTTGTCTTAAAATTATTTTATTATATAATATTATTTATTATATAATAATATTTCAAATTAGTATTATATTATTCATATTAGTACAATACAATATTATTTATATTTATAGTATTACAAAGAAATACATATTTATATTTGAAACAATAGCATTTATTATCACTATTTATTATTTATTATTATTTATTATTACTATTATTACTTTTTTATTATTGTTTATCGTTATTCATAATTTTTTACAATTACTTGCTTACACTTTTTATTATATTTGCATTTATTTCTTATATATTCATACATTTATTTCTTCTTCTTCTAACATCACTGGTTAGGCTGACTTCAACAGCTATAACGGTAAGCGTAAGATGTTTCCAAGCTGCGTGGTGTGATGCCACAGTAATAGAAGCCATTCCTTTTCCCATCGTCTATTGTCCATATATTACTCATCCACTTATACTATTTATTTATATAATATTGTTATTGCCATTACTATAGATATTACTATTATTATTATCACCATTAGAGGACAATATGGCCAAATGCTTCATCACTTTTAATATGCTACTAGTTCGGCCAATAGCCTCAATTTAAACAAGTCCCGTCATCTGATATTGAAGAAACTCGTTTTTTTGCATTTCTATCACCAAATGAAGTTCTAATAAATCTCTTTCTAAATCAAATGTGCTATAATCATTTAATTATTATTATTAGCGATAGTTTTATTAAATATTAAGCAATATTTCGCTTATTATTAGTTGTATTTTAAAAAAATAAAATAAATTGAAATAAATATTAAAAAAATTTGAATTTCGAATAAAATAAAGCGAAAAATTAAGAAATTTTAAAAAGGAAAAGATTGTTAATAATTAAATTGTTAAATTTCTATGAATTAAAATTATTTAAAATAAGAAAGCGAGTTTTTTAGCGAAAAATAAAAAACCAACAAACTAATCAGCGATTCAGCGATAAATTCTGGCAACAACTGATAATGAATTAACGATCACAAACTCGAAAGAATGAAAAACAACAATCGTTTCCTCCCCACCCTCGTTTATGATCCGAGCCGACAAATAGAGTCATAGAGACTTTTTATCAGATGTAAAATATGAATGCGCGCGTCATAGCCGCAGCGCATGCATATTAACCCCGCCTATACACTTATACAAGTTGATCAAAGGAGGAATGCAAAAGACGAATTTCTGTGATCGGCCAGCTCCCATTCCCCGTTTGGTCCTTTCGGTGTGGTGATGCATCAGAAGTTTGATTCTTTAGTCCGTTATCTCCTGTCCAGTTTTCTTTTCCTTTTCGTCATAAGTCACACGAAAAAACCCGTTTGATTTGCTCTTTTGCTTGCGATAATCCATCGATGTACCCCGTTCGATCTTTTATTGATTCTTGACAACTGATGAATATTGATAAGGTGAACTGTTAATTCGACCCCTATTTCCGACCCCACGCTTCTCCTTTATTCGCCTTTTAGGATAGAAGATGTTTAATAATAGTTCCATGGAATATTCATTGTGCTAAAAAGTTTTTAATAATTCTGTACTCAAAAATAAGCAAAATACGATTCAGCAAGTCGAAATGAAAGGTCACTAATCTTATGAAGCAAAGGTGACAGTGGTGACTTTCAATGAAAACGGCTATATAGGACCAACAGTTTCAATCTTGGAGGACAAATTAACGACTGGCTTTGCATTAAGTTTTCGTTTATTTTGTAGCATTTTTATTGTTTTGACTGATTAATGGTGTTATAACCGTCGTTTAATTACCCAAGTTTTAAGTGCGCAACGACGAACCATAGGTTACGATAACGGAAATGAAACGATTGAAAATCGCGAACACACCATCCGAGAGCTTTTTTTCGTTACAACCTCATAATTTCTTCAGATTTCATCAATTCCTTCAACAATGTTGCGCAATATTTTGTGGATTTTTAATCATATTATTGCAAATTTTCCATTTATTATTTCACAACACCCAACAATATCATTTTTAATCCTTTATGAATTCTGCGTGACAAATCTTTTCCGAGTTATTATTTAGTTTGCTAATATTTCTTCGATAGTGAAACAGGAAAAATGAAAACAAAATCGTTGTAAATGCAAGTTTGTGTGTAAACTGAATTTTTGAAATATTATTTGTAAAAGTACTGAAAATACATAGATTTTTTGGATCTAATAAATTCCATTATGGTTAAAAGGGGCCTCCAAGCTCTTCGGCCCGACGCTGTCGCCGAGAGCAGTAGAAGCCATTCTTTTTTCTATCATCTGAATCCATATATCGCTGGTCACCCTATATGTTAAGAATCTTTCCTGACCGTATCAGTCCAAATATTGATTGGCCCACCTCGCTTTTGGTGCTAACCATCATAGGGTTCGGCAAATAACGAAATATGCATCAACTCCTGTGGTGGTCGACGGAAAAGTTACCCTAACCAGTTTCATTGCAACTACAATTGAATTAATTCAGCAGAATTATTTAAACTTGTGAGGTGACAAAATAAAGAATTGCAGTAGATTCTGCAATGTTGTTGAAAATAAATTTAGCAAAATAAAATTAATAAATAATAAATATAAATAAAAATAAAATTCAATTGTCGAAATCCTTTGACTATTCTTTACTAATCTCTACTAAATATAGGAAATTTAGTAATTCCTTTTTTTAAAATTAATATATGAATAGTTTAAGCTCAAAATATTTCTGCACGATCTGCGGCATAAATTTTTAAAATCTTTGTAAATGCATAATTTATTTATTTAAATATTTGCACTTATAAATATAGACAAGTTTTGTAGCACCAAATATATGGCAAAAATCGAATGAAAAAATGGATTAATAATTGAAGACAGTGAGATTAAGCTCGCCTACCACGCGTTAATATTTTAGAATAACCTTGATTCGGCTGCTTTGTCAGGACAGTGGAATAAACACTGATCAAGGCATGTATTTAAAAAATTTTATTCTACACTCCACACTCAAACTTGAGTAATTAAACCGATTAATATATAGACAAGGTTCGATTAAATCAAAGAGACTAAATGGCAAAAATAAAAGAAAAGAATAAAGGGATAAGGAATTAAATCATGACTTGCCGTTATGATAAAATAATATTCTTTATATATTCTTTACACATTTTTCGCATGCTGTTTTTACAAGGAAAAGTTTAAAAGAAAAAATTAATAGTCGCGATGATTTTAATATGTTTCGATTAATCACGATAATTATTTTTTAAATAAATTTATCATTTTTGCTATTTTATTTATATAAATTCTTGGTACATAGTTGCTTTAACATTAGTAACTTGAGCAGATTGCAGATATTTTTTAATAATTCGTTTTGAAAGTCGTTGTAGTTGAAGTAAGTTTTAGGTATTCAAATCGTTAAAGTATAGATTTGGCTTTCGGTAGTTCCACTTTTTTCATTTAGAACATTGACTGCAATTGACTTCCTTCCTAGTCTTTTCGGATCATTATTAATGTTAAAGCAATTATATAAGATTTCACGATCGACGGCGGAAATAAATAATTTTTTTTTGTTTCAAGAATTTTGGTAAATCTTTCAACATTGATTTCCAATTCAATTCAAATCATCGAAAATTCAACAAATATTCATTCAATAAAAAACTCAGAAAGTGCGGCGAGATATTCATTTAATTCGGCTTTAGGGAAGAAAATTTAAATAATTTAAATATTGAAAATTTTTCATTCGTCTGCGAAATGATAAGGATTACGCTCGTCTATAATAATCATAAAAGGCAATAATGCAAATTTATTGCAGTTGTATGTGCAACATACCCGGGCGCCTTGCTTAAATTATCAGTTAAGATATCATCTGATAAAACAAAACAATAAAAACTGAATTTAGACCAATCTATGCCTCTGTTCCTTTGGCAAAAAATCTCAGACATTCTCTTTTTTAATGGAAATAGCAAAAAGAAAACAAATGCGATGGGCACTACATAAATAAAAATGTGTATGTATGGAAAATCTTTTAGTTACCTTCTTCGAGAAATCTTATTATACCCATTTTTTATACAAATAACCGCCTAAATAAGTGAATTATTGGAAAATTCTAAGGCAAAAATCCACAAAATCCAGTTTCTGAAGAGCGTAAAATGTGATGAAATATTTTTCGTACACGCATCGTAAGAAATTATTGCAATGGAAAGAAAACGACCGCTCCAAGACGAATGAAAAGACGGCGTTAATAAAATTGAAATTAATATCTATTCTAATTACGATCAGAAAATCTCGAATTATAGCAAATAAAGAATGCTGAATCAGAATAATCAATTTTTCCTTTGGATCTCTCTCAGAGCAAAATCACAAATTCGTAAAGGTGACAAAAACGAATC